ATTCCTATCACAACTACCCGATAATTTCACTCGTAATCTCAAAAAGAAGAGAAAGGAGAAAGAAAGAAAACGGAAATGATTTATTCCATTTTCTATGAAATACATGTAATATAATTTAAGAATAAAGCACTAAAATTTTATTTGAGAATATACTTTATCTTAAAATCTTATTAAAATAGTAGTCTTAAAAATGAAGCTTCATAAATATAGGAGTTATTAGGATTGTATTTAAACGTGGTAATTAATTTATCATCTTAGAATCTATATTAACATTAGGAATTAATTTGAAAACCTATAGAATATGAAGATTAATAACCTTCAGATGCTTGGCTTAATATAGTGACTTTGAAATGACAAACTGTGGACATAAATAGAAATGATAAACATAGAACTTTAATAAGATTATACCTTAAAAGATGATGCAGGAAAATTAATATGGTATCATAAAATCTACATTTAAAAATAAGATAGCGAGATTAATATCCTTAATAATCATACTATTAACTTTAAAATTTAAAAAATAATCGATTTTCTTTAAAATGGATCAAATTTAATTAAATCGCAATTTCCATAATAATAAAACAAACAATTTTGCTGTTTAAAAAAATCAACAGAGTACTATTAAACATTTGTATGTTAATCTGCTAACAATAAAATATCAAATCTCCCTTTAAATTCTGTAAAAAAAATATTTTATGGCACTTTTCAATAGTTTATTCAATAGTTGATGTTGGTACTGATGTAATTTAATGATACTACAAACATGAAATGTCGCACGAACATCATTTGCAAATACACGTTAGCAAAATTAATTTTTCCCCTCTCCCTTCTAAATTATGGTTCGGTCACAAAACTATAATACAGAGCTTAATGGAGCGATACTTTAGAATATTGCATAAAATATTTCGGATACTCCTCAATTTGGGGCCCTCTAACCCGAGTTAAGATAAAAATCATTCGATCAATGTCATCGGCTTCCAGGCAAGCACCTTAAACATGTTTTGTATAAAAAACTATGCTGGCAATTGGCATAAATTATTATCTAATATTGAAATCTTAAAAAACAGATTATAGTCACGATTTTAAATTTAATTCTTTTACCATTTTACCGTATTTTTAAATTCGACTGCATTAAAATTTACTCTCTAAAATATTTTATTCATAAGGTATGTATGTTTATTCGCATTAAAAAACTATATTAGAATCTGTTTTAATTTTTAAAATCTTCTTCATAAAATGGATGTTTTAAAAAACAAAAACATCAAGTTCGTTCACATGTCATTGTTTCGTGTACGGCACAATTTTTATAAATAATTAGCATATAAGATGGTAATGAAAATTTAAGAATGTATCATTATATATTATAACATATAAATCTATTATTTTTCGTGTATTATAAACATTTATTTTTCAAATTTCCTCATCCATAAAAACGCATCAACCCCATAAAGAGAATATGGTCGAATCTATCGTCATGACAACCATTACTTTATGAAAAGTGTATAAAGGAAAGAATTGCAACTTTTAAGTAGTGCGATGGAAGTAGCCGCTTTTATATTTTTAATTTCGGCGTATTTATTAGAATGAAATAATTTTTTGAGGGGAGAAACTAATGCAGTTTTTATTTCAAAAAATATTATTTTAATAGGCGCAGATGGGAGATTATGCTTAAAAAATGAAAATGTCAAGTTTTTATGGCTGAGAGTCGCCTGAAAAAATTAACTTTTTTTTTTTAAAATTAAAAATTTAAATTTAGGAAAATTTTTATACTTATTTAAAAGTTATTAAATAATTTTTTTCCTTACTTAAAATCTAAATTAATATATTTTTATTTGGTGTTTATAAAAGTCATTCGCATGGAAAATTATATAATTTGCGAGTAGCGAAATGTTTTTAAAAATATCGAAAATGACAATTAAAAACGCTGCTGAATTAAACAGTGGACCTGTTTTTTTTATTTTACATGTCACTTAATTACGAAAGACTTTTTTTTAATTAGGAAAAGTAAAATTCATAATTTATTCAAAAAATTCATAACTTTCAACTCGGTGATGAATTGCATAATAAAAAGTTTGCAGGCTAATTAAGGCTTTTTATACCCTGCCAATTCGATTTATTGGTTTTTCTGTTGTTTTTTTTTTACTTTTATAAGCGGAAATTATTGCAAGATACATAGTTTCATATAAACTGGAAAGAAAGAGCACGTAAATAAAAAAAACGTATTAATTAGAATATATAATTTGAAAAAATATTGATATGATACTGATTAAACAATTCTGTACATTTAAATCGAATTTCTTAATTTATATATGCATAAAACGATTCTAAATTTTAAAAATATTACTGTAAGCTACGAACTAGTAACTTGAATTTGGGGCGGAAGGATAAACAGACTGAACCTCAAGATATTAGAGTATCGAATTAAAAAAAAGAAAAAAAAACGATTATATACTAGAGAAATTTTACTAATTACCAACAATAAATTGAAACGATTCTGTGCAGCAAATCTTTCACGTATAGTGTTGCATGAAAGGTGGAGGGGGTGGAAATAAATCTTCCGGCAGTGTTGCCATGACAACAAGCATTACAGCCATACCGACAAGATTGTAGGCATAGGCCTTTACGGAAAAAAGTATTGGGAATTGTCCAGAGTAATGATAAGAACTCCCGAAAGTAAAATAAAAAAAAATAATAATAAATAAAAAAATAATAATAATTCAAAATAATAAAAAAAATTAAAAAAAAGAAAGATAAGTCAAGTCAATTTAATCTCATTCTTTAAATTTTATTTTCATATAGTCAATTTTTTTTCTCCTAATAGGAAAACTTTGGTCACCTCTACAGCGACTAGATATACAAAGTGAGTTTTTTACAACACAACACTGTACAATAACGTGCAATCATAAAAAAACATTATCTCACGTGCTTCAAACATAATAATAATAATAATATATATATATAATATAATAATAATCAATAATAATAATAATAATAATAATAATAATTAAAATCACAACGCATGCTGGGATAGGATGAACAAATCTGAACAAGTAAATAGGCTATAAAAATTGTCTAGATATGTAGATAAAACACAATGCTACAAAATAATTAAAATCTACATTGGTGTAAAAGTTAAAAAAAACAAACACAACAGAAAAGAAACAAAAACAGACTTCTTTTTAACATTATATGTAAACAAAGAAAGGAATTCAAACCGGAAGATTCATAAGGGTCCGATTCCATAAATATATATATATTTATAAATATATATAACTTGTATTTGGCGGTTGAGGTAGCTTAATACTAAAGGGTATAGGCATCTATCCCTTTACTTGAGACTATGAAAAAATATGCAAATAATTAGTGAAATGAACATAAGAGAAAAATTATGAAAGGGCGGGCGGGTTGACTGAGGGCATCGCAATATTTATAGACCTGCTAAGGATGCGGGGTGGAAGCCAGCGGTCATTAGGTACTGTAGGGGTATAAATTGAATGGGGGTAGGAACGATCGATAACCTTTTTCAGCGGACGGAGGGAAATGGCTGAGAAAAATGGTTCCGTCCAATAAATGGCAGGATTTCTATGTGACTCGGGGGGCGAGGGAAGTGGCTGGCACCCTACTGTCCATTGACTTACAGTTATGAGTGATCCCTTACTAGTTACGGACGCTAGAGGAATTTTTGGCAATCGTCCCGACTGAATGAATTTGAGAGCTGGGCGGAATATATCGGACCCTTTAGTCTTCCCCTATATTTTTAAGGATTTAGAAAATGAAATATACGAGAGACGACAGTTGTCACTGAGGTACTTTGTACTCTTAAAGAGATCGCCTCTCTTAAATAAGGATTGAAACGTTTACGTATACTCAGTACAAACTTTGAAACAAATCATAAAAAATTAAAACAACAAATGGGAGTTCTTGATATCTTTCCGTGGCAGGAAAGTAAAAAGATTTTGATATTTCCTTTTTTTTGATTTTCAAAGAGAAGAAAGGGAGTGGACTTTTGATTTTTGTAAGCTTTAAACTTTCTCTTGTATCCAAACATTCTATCAACTTTTGGAATATAAAATTTTGTATAATTTAGGGGATGAGGTATAAAGGATGGAAAATGGGGACGATGGACAGATTCCCCGGAATCGAGGTAAAGAAATATAATAATAAAAAAGGAAAAAATCCAAATTCTTTTTGCCTCATTCCCCACTCAGCAGGATTGTTATAGTATATATATATATATTCTCGCCGTGGTCCCTCATCACCGACTGAGTGAGGTCCGAATGGGATCCTGTCCGTGTACCTCCATGAATGGCTATATCCATGTGCAAAAACTTCATTAATAATCACGGATAATCAATTATCTACAATAATACTACTTAATAAAGACAATTGCCTCATAGTTCGCAGTTTATATACGTGGAATTCATTTCTATTTGTAAAAAGTTAAAATAATCGTTAATGTTTTTATTTGGCAAAATTAAGGATTTTAAACCAACATTTAATTGTTTAATTTAAATGCATAAATTAATATAAATACTAATTCCACGTATATATACTGTTACACACAGAGTCATAATCAGTGCCTTGCAGGCAAAATTTATGTGCTGACTAAATTCTGCATAATAGTATGAAACAAATAAATAACCACACAATCTACATACTGTACATACATCATAAAATACCTATCCTATAAGAACGATACATGCTAGCTTTCCTCTCTCAATAATAAATACATTTGAATGATTAATATTTAATAACTTGTTTTTTTTATATCCAATCTCTATCAAATATGGAATTATCCAAAAAGTTTTTTCTTATTTTGATTTAATTTTTTTAAGGATAAAACTGAAAAATCTTTTGATTTTTCTCATAAAATTATTATAAGTGTAAAAAAAATTTTGAATTTAAATATATATATATATGTATATATATAAACAATCTTATAATCATAAAAAATCTTAGAATTTCAGAAATTCATGATTTAGAATTCCTCTTTAAAACAAGTTCTTTTTAAAGAGAGAGGATTGTTTTACAAATTATCATGCCAACAGCATATAATAATGATAATTACTGTTTTCTTCTTTCTGTCCATATTGCATCAACTTCTTCAGCTACCACATTTTTTTGTGGTAACAAAAAATTAATAATAATAAAAACAAACAAAAAGTAAGAATTAAGGACGATCCTCTTCCTAGCCTCATTAGCAGGATCTTCCTTCCTCCTCATCGGTTATATTACTATTTTATGTATTTTGTTATAAAAAGACCCTGAGTTGAATGAGGACAGTTAGTGGAAGTCATGGCTCACGATGTAAACTTGCAAAAACTGCTCACCTGTTACTTAGCAGATATAATGGGGGGAACACATACACACAAACACACACACAATCACCTACAATTCCTCTGGTGCCTTATTCAGAATTTATCTGTAATTAACAGCTTCTGATATCTAACTTTTGCTTTTCTTCTATTAAATATTTTATGTAAAATGGACGATAATTCCGGATTCTGCATTTGATATCTAAATTTCAATAATATCAAGGAGCATAAAAGTATCAAACAAATCTTCCACTTTCTTCCTCATGTAAAATAATGTTCCACTTGTGATATGACTTGATACATCAGATTATTGTCATCTCTAATGGATAAAGCTTAATGAAACTTCTAATCACAAGTGCATTTTGATTTCATCATTTACCATTAAATCTTTTAAAATCTCTAAGAAAAGTTAAGAACAACAATGAAATAAAAACGACAGCAGGCTTCTATACGTTTTGATTACTTTTGATGTAATGATTTCCACCAAACCTATACTTTGTATACAATGTCATCTTGACAAAGTTAGGCATCACTGAGGTAGAGAGGCAATAATAGATGCTCATGCTGGTGTCAATGTAAAAGGTAGAGTCACAGGATGGAGCACCTTCTGGCATACAGGTAGATATACCAGTGAGGGTACGAATGTGCCATTTTTGGCCACTCCATCAGATTCTGGCTGGGCAAGTAGGAAAGGCTGCATGATAAAGGAACCGGCAGCAGGTGGATTCTGTGGCATGGCAAATGTCATAGGAAATTGAGAACTATTGGTGGAAGAAGGAAAATTGGATGGACACCCAAGTCTTCCTGGAGATGGGAAGAGTTTTGGAACAACTTGCATGTTATTTGGTGTTGAAGGTGAACTGGCAGAAGCATCACTTTCTTGTTGGACATCTTTAGCTACATCTGTGGCCCCTTGATGCTGTTTGATATGTAACTTCAAAATACTCCAAACTTTTGTAGCAAACCCACATAAACGACATCGGAAGATCTTCACATGTTTTTGTTGATTTATTATACTTCTTCTTCCACTGTGAACATTGTGAATATGAGCCAAACACATCTCCCTGGTGCGAAATTTTTTATTACACTTACTGCAGCGATATCTTTTAACTTTTGTTGAATGTTGCATATCATCTTGTGATTTTCCCATTGCTGTGGCTGACCTGGAAGAATCCCATTGTTGGCCTAGAGACTGTGCACGCTTCTGGTGATGTGATGATGATAATGAAGAGTGCGATATATCTTTAAACGAAAATCCCGCAGCCCTATGATTTAAAAAGTGGCGTTGAAGAGAGTGATTGTAACGATATGCACGATGACATATACGACAAACAAACCTCTTTTCGCCTTCAGTATTAACACCAGTATGTCTCTTTTCATGTGCGTACAAATTGGACAGCCATCGAGTAGAATAAATACAGAATGAACAGTGATAAATTCTATTACCACCAATACCTGACAGTTTAATTGGTAATCTGGACTGTATTACTTGGACAGAAGAAGAAGAACTTCCTGGTGATGTACTACCATTTGTTCTTGCCTGATCTTGGACTGCTGTTGTTGAGGAATCTGATGTTGTATTCATCCCTGAGTTATTTGTGATTCCTATATCTTCATTTGTAGTACGATGATCCTTGATCAGGTGAACTTGTAAGGCTATCTTGTCAGGAAAGTTTTGACCACATATCATGCAAAGTTCATTATTAGAATCCATATTGGTATTTTCCACTTGGGTGGGAAATTGATTATCTTTCATCATTCCTGTATGATCATTTAGCATGTGGGCTTTTAACCACTTAACACTTTTAAAACGACGATCACAGAGTGGACAAACTTCTGAATAATTGCTGAAGTAGCGATTAGTGGGATCATTAAGATCACCAGAACTGGAAAATTCCTTATCATTATTAAATGCAACAAAACTGGGCGAATCTTTTACTGGAGATGGTTCTTCATATATGCCGTGAGTATTTTGCTTGTGTACTTTCAAGAAATATTTGCTACAAAGTTCCTTTTGACAAATATCACAAGTAACTCCTCCAATAGTGCTGCTGCGGGCTGCTTCATTTGGTTGACTGTCTAAGTTTATTCCATGCATTTTTAACATATGTGTTTTCATGAAATATTTATTACAAAGTTCCTTATTACAGATGTTACAATAATTACGACCTGTAACATTGCGTGGTTTTTCTGGAGTTGCAGGAGGTAAATTGTTGGTTGCACATAATTTGACTGGATTTGAAAGTTCAACTGCTGTTTCTGGACCTGATTGTTTCTTTGGTGTTGGACTGGCTTCTGGTAATATTCCGTGAATGTTCTGCTTATGAGTTTTCAAAAAATACTTGCTGCAAAACTCTTTTTGACAAATTTCACAATAAGCTTCTGAATCAATAACTGGAGCTGAGGTTGTAGTCTTTTGTAAGTCAAGAACGCCTTCCAAAGATCGCTGAATGCTGGAAGCAATTTCCATGTTGTTTCCTGCCTGACCATCTTCATTAGGAAGTACTCCATGCTCATTCATCATATGTGCTCTTAAGAAATATTTATTTTCAAATTCTAAATGGCACAAGCTACATAATAATTTTGTACTTTCGGATCCTGTGACAGCATTCAGTTCTGTAATCATTGTCTGAAGCTTCTGCAGATCTTGGCTAGCTGTATCTGTTAAATTACAGCCAATACTTTCATACATTTGAGATTTAGCAGTCACTTCACCGCTCTCTTTCCCTTCTATATTTGCATTGTTTTGTGCTGGAGAAGTTGGCTTGGACCTTTCTTCTTCCTTTATATATGGGATGTTATGAGTGTAAAACTTGTGCATTTTTAAGAGGTAGAGACTGGAGAAGGGTCTGTTACAAATCTCACATGACAGATCTGTTGTTACATCTGAATCATATTGACTTCTTTGTGAAAACTGCATGTCTTTCTGAGTTTCATCTACAGATTTAGGACATGAGTTTTCATCATTTTTATCAAAAGAGCTATAGAACTGTGAAGACTGCATCAGACATGAGGTAGACATATGACTCTGACTATGAAGTGGAGACGTGGATGTTTCAGTTGCACTTAATCCATGCTTATTGATTTTGTGAGTTCGCAAGAAGTACTTATTGCAAAACTCTTTACAACAGATCTCACAAAATGCATCTGCATTGATAACTCCCATTTCACGCAATTTATCTGGTGTAAAAACAGGACTTCCTGTAAAAGTATGTGAAATACATAGTCCTTCTTGAGCTGATGTGCTAATAGATATGGGATGATTAATCATGGAAGAGGCAGTTGACACAATTCCATTTGTTACAGGAATGTTTTGTTGTGACTGGGAATTATAAAGAGATGGAAATTCAATTTTTGATAAGTCCTGAGGTTCTTCTTGGATAGATCCTATTGTTTGTTCATTCATACTTGTTGAAGGTGGTGAATTTGCTATAGAAATAGGAGAATTTATTTTAGATTCACTAGTAGCTGGAGTATGACTTGGGGAAGCACTCTGGGTGTTATCAATGAGACCATGACTTTTTTGTTTATGTTTTTTAAGGAAATACTTATTACAAAACTCTTTTTGACATATTTCACAGTATGATTCTACATTAATTAAACCTTGTTGTTTTGTAGTTGAAGAACTTTCTGAAGGGGAAGTTTGCATTGTTTGAGGAACAGAAAATGTATTTCCTGACACTGTAGGAGTATATGTTCCTGAAAATGGAGTGCTTACAATTGATTCAACTGAATAAATGCCATGTTTATTTGCTTTGTGGGTCTTTAAAAAGTATTTATTACAGAATTCTTTGTTGCATAATTCACAATAAGCTTCTAGATTAAAAATCCTAACACCTTGATTTTGATGAGAACCACCATTTGATAGAGAGGAGTTTTGACCTTGAGGAATGACTGGAAAGAGAAATGGTGGTATTGGACCAGGAAACATTGAGAGTGGAACAGAAAGATTACCTGATTTATTTTCATTGCTTTGACTGAATGGAATTAATGGTGGCATAGTTGGAAATGGCATTGTTTGATTTTTAGTGTCCCTATTTTCCTGAGATAAAGTATCCAATGGACTATTTGTTGTTTGTTTTCCTAAATAAGATTGTGCTACAGTATCACTAAGTTTTGATGAGGCAAAAGTTTTGGCTATTTCATTACTGTTTCCTTCCCTGCCATGACCTGAGGTAGATTTGTTGTATGACTGCTGTTGCTGAAGCTGCTTGTCCAATAGTTTTTGCACATGTTCTTCTTCTATATGAAATTGAAGAAGATTCTCAATTTCAAATGTAACACTACAATGTGGGCACTGATAAATATCCTCTTGGTCTCTGATTGTTTTATCCTCTCTTGTTTCCAAGTCAAGCATACTTTCCTTTTCTCCTATTACATCTTCTCCTTCTTCACTATCTAACATTGGCATAATTGAAGTAGTCTGATATCGAACTGGATTGCTTTGTTTTCGCCGTTTCTTTGCACGTGGTTCCACACACCCTGCATCAAAAAGCGGGGTGCTTCTACTATGATTTTCACTACTGTTTCCATCTTCATCACCTGAACAACCGTGATTTTCCATGTGCGGTGATTCTTGATGTTCCAAACTATCATGATGTATAAGAGAAATGGTATCATTGCTTTCAAAACTCATTCTTCTGCTAACAGGTCTTTCATTCAGTCCAATTATTTGGCAAGTCAGCTGTGCCATAGGAAGCTGATTAATTCCCTGAATTACACTCTTGAAAGTTTAATGGCTGTTCCAGCCATTTTTCTCTTGTACAAGGAAACCAATATCATGCAGCCTGTAAGAAATTAGAATAAAATTATTGTTTTATCTGATAGTAATCATAAAAATTTTAAAAAATTTAGTTAATGAATGTAACATAGAAAAGACTTATGAAGGAAATAATATAAATTAGAAAAGAATAAAAAAATTACAGTCAACCCCCTATAACATGGGTTCCTATAGTTCAGGTTCCTATATGATGGCGAAAAAATTGTGACGGTATCCGTACAAACATGGTAAAAAAACTCCTATAATTCGGTAAAACGTCATCGGGCAGCCGAACTACTTTCCGCTGTCCAGCGCCACGCTACGGAGAGTTTAGGCAAGTAAGTTGAGTTTACTATTGTCTGTACAGTATGTAAATTAGATCCCATAAGTCTAATACAGCACTAATTTTATACATTTCTTGTGAAAGAAACATTTCTTATTCAATGGCCATAAAAATTATTTATATTAATGATGTCTCCAAAGTTCAACGAAGTTTTCGCAGAAAAATAACTTATCAGAAATCGCGGCCNCATAACATCTAATCATTTATAGGATATCTAGGTTTATCTTATATTATTATTATTTTTATGTGCTAATATTAATTAAAATCTATTTGAAATATATTCATGCTCCCAATACTAATTACAAAGATTACAAAATTTCTTTGTATACTATGTTAAAGATGATAAATCCAATAGAACCAAAGTCCTTTTTGGAACTTTGGTTCTCTATGAATATCCATTCAAGTCATTGAAGGACTGTGAATGACTTATAGCAACATAAAGTTGTCCATGAGCAAAGACAGGAGAAGGAAAATAAATCACAACAATACAAAGAGATTGACCTCGGCTCCTATTGTCAGTCATGGCAAATGCAAAAGTTACTGGAAATTGATAGTGGTACATCATAAAGAAAGAGCACTCTCTGATAAAATGAGGTTGATGTGAAGAATCAAGATGCATTGTCTACTACTTGACCCTGTGAGCACTTGCTTGACTGCAAAGTGCTTGCAGGGTCAAGTAGTGGTCAGTGTATCTTAACCTGATGACATAATACTGAATTATTGTAAAATTTCAATGTTGTAAAAAGTTTCTTATCAACATTCTATACAAAATGATATGAAAATTTCAGAACTTTAGAACCTGATATCTCCTGAATAGATCTGAAAATTAAAAGTTTATTGCACATCTGCAGACCCATCCCTATCTATTAATACCTAATTCATTTAAATTCATTGAGAAATATAGAAGAAGTTCAAGTTAGCATAAATCTCCTTAGCATTATATAGTAGAACTCAGTTAAGAAGTTTTTTCATAGTACCAATTTAAAAAAAACTTCTCAAGGAGAAATGAAACTAATATAGCTTTTTTCAATAATTCATATTTATTTAACAATATTCTTCTACATTACAGTGAATTAGGCTTATACAGAATTATTTACACATTTGTCTCATGTAACCTGCTTCATCAGTTTTGTTACATGAGAAAAAAATGTTTTGATTCCCACAAACAAAACCCACAGAACTACAAATACCATACTAAAACTCACTGAAAACTTAATAGTGTCACCCAGTTATTGATACTGCTTGTCAACATTTTCTGCTTGCTGCAAGCAAAGTTACCTGATAATCATGGAAAAAATTGTAAAAAATTTGTATAATTCATGTTCAAAGTAGTTCCAAGTCATGTGTGTTATGAGTTATGAAACATAAAATTTTGTGCATTCTTTTTTCCATGTACAGTTAAATGTGTAAAAGTTTTGATAGGATTTAGTTGAAAAACTTAAAAACAAATCCATTTTTCAGTCATGGACAAGGATTTCATTTTACTTAAATGGGAAGTTTTATATGCAAAAAATTTGAACATCTGTTATGGAGAAAATTGGGACTTTTTAAATTAAACTTCTTACATAGGAAAAACTTTTAATGCAGGAACTTCTTAATAGAGATATCTCCTGTTATTTGGTGTTGAAGGTGAACTGGCAGAAGCATCACTTTCTTGTTGGACATCTTTAGCTACATCTGTGGCCCCTTGATGCTGTTTGATATGTAACTTCAAAATACTCCAAACTTTCGTAGCAAACCCACATAAACGACATCGGAAGATCTTCACATGTTTTTGTTGATTTATTATACTTCTTCTTCCACTGTGAACATTGTGAATATGAGCCAAACACATCTCCCTGGTGCGAAATTTTTTATTACACTTACTGCAGCGATATCTTTTAACTTTTGTTGAATGTTGCATATCATCTTGTGATTTTCCCATTGCTGTGGCTGACCTGGAAGAATCCCATTGTTGGCCTAGAGACTGTGCACGCTTCTGGTGATGTGATGATGATAATGAAGAGTGCGATATATCTTTAAACGAAAATCCCGCAGCCCTATGATTTAAAAAGTGGCGTTGAAGAGAGTGATTGTAACGATATGCACGATGACATATACGACAAACAAACCTCTTTTCGCCTTCAGTATTAACACCAGTATGTCTCTTTTCATGTGCGTACAAATTGGACAGCCATCGAGTAGAATAAATACAGAATGAACAGTGATAAATTCTATTACCACCAATACCTGACAGTTTAATTGGTAATCTGGACTGTATTACTTGGACAGAAGAAGAAGAACTTCCTGGTGATGTACTACCATTTGTTCTTGCCTGATCTTGGACTGCTGTTGTTGAGGAATCTGATGTTGTATTCATCCCTGAGTTATTTGTGATTCCTATATCTTCATTTGTAGTACGATGATCCTTGATCAGGTGAACTTGTAAGGCTATCTTGTCAGGAAAGTTTTGACCACATATCATGCAAAGTTCATTATTAGAATCCATATTGGTATTTTCCACTTGGGTGGGAAATTGATTATCTTTCATCATTCCTGTATGATCATTTAGCATGTGGGCTTTTAACCACTTAACACTTTTAAAACGACGATCACAGANACTAATCTACCCTGAAATGCTGAACTGATGGACTAATACATATAAATCATAAAATATGATAAATAAAATTCAGAGAAAATTTTAAAAATTCTTTTTATAATGATATTTAAAAAGCTGAATAATAATTTAATTTATGAGTAAATTTTTCTTAAAAAGATGGCTACAGTAAGCATAACAAGAAATTGAAAGAAGACATAGACACAGATTATATAACTTATTCGCTATGATACAGCTAAAAATATCTCCACAGAACATTTAATTTATTATATGAAATTATCATATAATGGTCTCTTCTGAAAAGTTCTATAAAGAAACTTTTTATTACATCTTGATAGAGCAATGAAATTACAAAGACAATAACAGAAAAAAATTAATTGATTGAAGAGAAATGGGAATTTTCAAATATTTACAGAAAAATCAGTGAAATGATGCAAAAACAATATGAATAAAATATGAAAAATATATATAGGGAAAAGAAGTTTTAATGGCATTTTTCCATTATACTCTTGCATGTTGCATTTCAATGTTGTGCATGTTCTGTTAAATCATAAGCTATTACATTTCTTCTGAAACAATGAAGACTAATTATATTATGATTTCAAATGAGGAATTTAAAGTGTGCAAAAATTAAAATCTAAGTAACAATTATTTGTTTCTAAAATTTTAAAAATATTTTTNAGTCAATTGACAGTAGCCATACTGTGTTTTGGAATAGACTGTGCTAAGCATGTGTATAAAAAAAACATCTTTGGTCTTCTCAGTGTATTTCATTTTGTCAAAGTCTGTCTGGCATACTTGTAAAGATGATCAGACACATCACCCTAAGTGATGAATCTTGACATCACATTAAACCAGAGATAACGTCTCAAAACATCCAAGTGACATTATTATTTGACTACACAAGTCCAATACTTTTTCAGTTCAATTAAAAAAAAAAAAAATCTAGTCAACAAGAACATTATTATGACATTCTACAGTGCTTATAGAGAGTTATCTAAATCAAATGTCCAGGTCTCTTGACAGAGAGAACATTATCTTACTACATGACAGTAACAACCCCATAGTGCTTAGTTGATGTTTGAATGTATTGAATAATTTGGATGAGAGGTTCTTGATTATGCACTATATATTCTCAATCCTGCATCAGGTGACTTCTGGATATTCTAATCCAGCTATTAGTTTTTCTACTTGGACAGTATTAATAGATTTGTACAGCAGTGGGATAAGTCTCTTAAATTTTACAGGGATTACTTTTAAATAAAGAATACTTTCACAAGAAAATATGTTATTCAGAAAACCACTTTCATTTGATTCATCCAAATATAATCTTTCAGATTAAGCTTTGATAATTTCTTACTTGCCAATGTTCTATCATATTATCTTAATTGAATCAAATATTTTGGATTTATTAACTATAGACTAATATGTTGTATAAATAAATGCCTTATGTTTAAATTTTAATTCAAAATTATAATATATTCATTTATGAGGTTTAATGTATTGATAAAAAAGTAATATAAACACAGTATTAAACTTTAAGATTATATATACTACTATCTCATGATGTTAATTCATAACAAAATTTAAAAATAGAAATTAGAAAAACTAGCAGACAATCTGCAGTATCCATGGGATAAGGCATTAAACATAAAAAATTAATTTAAAATTAAAACTTAGAATTTAATGTCTATCAAAAATTACTTGTAATCTGGACTACATGAAATAAAATTAACATAGATGCACTATAAATGATTAGATTTTATATGACTGATAAATTTTAATTAATAATTCATTTTAATAATTAAAATTTATTGTACACATAACATCTAATCATTTATAGGATATCTAGGTTTATCTTATATTATTATTATTTTTATGTGCTAATATTAATTAAAATCTATTTGAAATATATTCATGCTCCCAATACTAATTACAAAGATTACAAAATTTCTTTGTATACTATGTTAAAGATGATAAATCCAATAGAACCAAAGTCCTTTTTGGAACTTTGGTTCTCTATGAATATCCATTCAAGTCATTGAAGGACTGTGAATGACTTATAGCAACATAAAGTTGTCCATGAGCAAAGACAGGAGAAGGAAAATAAATCACAACAATACAAAGAGATTGACCTCGGCTCCTATTGTCAGTCATGGCAAATGCAAAAGTTACTGGAAATTGATAGTGGTACATCATAAAGAAAGAGCACTCTCTGATAAAATGAGGTTGATGTGAAGAATCAAGATGCATTGTCTACTACTTGACCCTGTGAGCACTTGCTTGACTGCAAAGTGCTTGCAGGGTCAAGTAGTGGTCAGTGTATCTTAACCTGATGACATAATACTGAATTATTGTAAAATTTCAATGTTGTAAAAAGTTTCTTATCAACATTCTATACAAAATGATATGAAAATTTCAGAACTTTAGAACCTGATATCTCCTGAATAGATCTGAAAATTAAAAGTTTATTGCACATCTGCAGACCCATCCCTATCTATTAATACCTAATTCATTTAAATTCATTGAGAAATATAGAAGAAGTTCAAGTTAGCATAAATCTCCTTAGCATTATATAGTAGAACTCAGTTAAGAAGTTTTTTCATAGTACCAATTTAAAAAAAACTTCTCAAGGAGAAATGAAACTAATATAGCTTTTTTCAATAATTCATATTTATTTAACAATATTCTTCTACATTACAGTGAATTAGGCTTATACAGAATTATTTACACATTTGTCTCATGTAACCTGCTTCATCAGTTTTGTTACATGAGAAAAAAATGTTTTGATTCCCACAAACAAAACCCACAGAACTACAAATACCATACTAAAACTCAATGAAAACTTAATAGTGTCACCCAGTTATTGATACTGCTTGTCAACATTTTCTGCTTGCTGCAAGCAAAGTTACCTGATAATCATGGAAAAAATTGTAAAAAATTTGTATAATTCATGTTCAAAGTAGTTCCAAGTCATGTGTGTTATGAGTTATGAAACATAAAATTTTGTGCATTCTTTTTTCCATGTACAGTTAAATGTGTAAAAGTTTTGATAGGATTTAGTTGAAAAACTTAAAAACAAATCCATTTTTCAGTCATGGACAAGGATTTCATTTTACTTAAATGGGAAGTTTTATATGCAAAAAATTTGAACATCTGTTATGGAGAAAATTGGGACTTTTTAAATTAAACTTCTTACATAGGAAAAACTTTTAATGCAGGAACTTCTTAATAGAGATATCTACTGTATATATATATATATTATAGAACAGATACAGAGATACAGATATAGATGACAAGATTTAAAGAAAATCAACTACTCACTTATTACAAATGTTATTTATATTAGAATTATACAATTCTTTTCTGTTTGTATAAAAAGCTGTTCCATGCATATAAATTATTAAACTAAATTTTATTATATTATATTATGTATTAATGTTTTGTTAGAATATATAAAGTCTAATATTTCAGTCAATAATAATCAAATGAAATAATGTGCTTATTTTAAACTACATTAAACATGATTAATTTAAGTAATTAAACCTATAATAAACAAGAATTTAAACTATTAACATGGAAAAATACTACTAAATAAGCAATTATTTATTGTGACATCGTCACAATGCCAGGCTGCAACTTTTAATCATATTTTTAATTAATTTAATTTAAAATATATAATCACTTTTATAACCAGTTTAAAAAGGGTATTTTTTGGATGAATAAACTGAAATGTTATGTCCTTTGAATCCAATGCTCACCCAAGTTCAAGAATTACTCACATGATTAATTCTCATATTAAATGCATCTTGGATTGGAATTCTCGCTGATCTCTCATCAGTAATCTGCAACAGAGCCTACATCAATATTTCAGACTTTTTGAAATCAATCACAGTAACTGATTTGTATTAAAATATATGCTCTTCACCTCAAATTATTAGTAATGTCTTGCCCCTGTACATCATCCTTTAACAATAGAGTCAAATTAACTACTTTCAGAGAAAAGTTTTGAATTGAAATAACATGACTTCCAGTTTGCATTGGAAGTTCA